ATTCTCCACTCTTCCAGACGCTTCTTGGTTTTCTTCAGCAGTCATTTGACTTCACTTAAAGCACTTCATTCATTTCGCTTGCTTTGTTCAGTGCGAAGATAGGAATTTGAGCTTTCATATAATGCAAGTAAGCATGACATCGAAATACAACCCTTCTGCAACAACTAGCGTTTAAAGGTAAGAGAGGTAAGTTGAAATTAGGTATTTATAGCTTTATGGGTAAGCATTTATTGACTATTAATACGGATTTTATGTCTTTCATTTCAGATCTAAGCAAAAGGAGGGCCGTTGCCAACAAACTTCATATCTCAAGAGATGATATGGGCAGCAGTTTACAAATGCAACAATAGATTATCAACTGTAATCATATAATTATATACTCGAATAATGTATTGTTTAAAAAGATAGAGATTTTAGTGATTGAAAGAATATTGTAATATCAAAGATCTCACAACAAGAGCATGAAGAGTATGCAAAAAATAACATTACTAAACAATGTACTCGGTTTAGTGGGAAACCAGCACAAACAATGCAAAGCAAACACTGTACAATGAACAATGCAACAACAATAAACAGAATGCATTGACAAACGACAAACAAACAGTTGCACACAAAGATAACATACACTGTCAACAATAAATACAGCGCATACAATAAACATGGCACAAATTCAACGAAAGATAAGTAGTACCGTATCAAGATCACTGGAAACCTCATGAGTGCGAAGCACAAAAGGAAGATAAAGGGGCGTCCCTCATGAAACGTAATGCACCAGTAAAATGCAGAAGCACAAAGTAATTAAGGTAAATAGTTAACGACATAAATGTCAACTCAAAGAGTACTAATAAACCAGCCACTATAAAACAGTGGTTAAAATCCACAAGTATAACAACTTGGGCAATAAATAAGCGATTAATGACCCATAAATAAGGGCTTGCGAATGTGCATACTAATATCAAATATATCCATGAACGGACAAAACTTGTGCATAGCGCAACAAAGTACAAAATGTACAAATACAAAAGTACACAACAATGGTACAAAGTACAATATTATACTAAACCCTTGGCCAAGGAATTAATTTACGAGTGCACTCACCAATAGAAGTTGCCTTACAGCAGACAGGCAATGAGGAAACCACGGCAAAGGGGGGCGCCTGCCCAGAGCCGGGAGAAGAGAAGAACAAAATGACGACAGACTACGTCATTTAAACTTGCAGCGCAAGCGAACACAGTGCACAGCACTACAAACAAGCCCAAAATGCACTAGGGCAAAAGTCGAGCACGAAGCTCGTCACACAAGCACACACACACGAAACAGCTTGAAGTCGAACGCCGGACATGACGTCATGGAGCTCGCCGCCCGCCGGAAGTTTCCGGCGGTGGCGAGAGAAGAACAAGATCAGCCCTCGTGGTGAAGGCAAAATGACGAGCATGGTGGCGATGGTGAAGTTGG